CTGTGCACAAGATTAATTAAACATAAGAATTCTCTCCTATCGTAATTATCTTTGTTAATTAATTTGTTAACGTAAATCAGGGATAGATTTACTGGGGGAGGGGAGGTGTGGGGGTATAACGCCCCCCAAGGAAAAGTCAAGAAAGGGATCCCAATTTCCCCCAGCTCGGGGGCCCGGAATGCTGGGATTGTGGAACTTGTTAAATATTAAGGAATATTCTGAAACATTGAGGTCGAAAAATGTCTGAAAAAGAAAGTTGTTTTTGAGGTGCCCCCCAATCCCCCTCCTAGATTATGCTGAATCCATCCCTGATGTAAATTTGAGAAAAATATTGTGTTTTATTTTTATTAAAATGCTTTATTTGCCCCCCTCCTGCAGGAAAGAAGACATCTTTCACCTACCAGTGGCGTAACTACTATGGGCTCGGACCGGGCGAACCCGGGGGCCCCCAACCCCAATGGGCCAAATGCGCCCCCCCAGGCTCAGGCTGTGAAGCAAAAACATTGGCCAGGGCCTCTGATATGTCACAATGTCGTTTTCTGACCATCAGAATTCTGTAACATCTCTCCCCAAAGTCTGGGAAATGGTATTTCAAAAATTTTCCGGGTGAGCATGCCCTAGACCCCTAAAAACTCGTGCATATACGGCGCTCGACTTGTGCCTTTGGCACTTCTACTAGGGGGGCCTTCGAAAATTTTGAACCGGGGGGCCCCTGATATAACGTTACGCCACTGTCACCTACATTCCGTCGCCCCTGATACCATACTATACATTCTAATTTACACTCGAAAGTTTGAATTTTTCTCGTGTTTTATTTAATAATTATAATTGCAGAGAATTTTCATGACTTTCCGATAATTTTTATAGATAAAATTAACAGTCAATAACTGATTGAAAATGTAGACATGCAAGCAGTAATAGTTCGCGCATTGCCTGGGGGCCTGGGGCCTAGTTTACGTATCAGAGCGCGAAGAGGTTCACGGGATAGCGTCGTTTCAAATTTTTTTGTGCTACAAAGTGCTAACCGAATTCCAGTTCTATTTTACAATATATTTATCACATTTTTCTATCCCAAACGACGGAAAAGGCATCGGAAAGGTCTTAAAATGTTATTCAGACCTCACAGGTAAGAATATTTTATTTTGATTAATTATTTAAGTACTTTAATTGCGAAAGAATGTGTGATTGTTCTTGAGTCATTTGCCTAAAATTCCGTTGAATGTTTAAATTTGCCGCGTTCAATTTGCATAAAAAACCTACGAAATGTTGGTTTCTGGCAATGAAAGAAAGAATAAAATATCAATTCGAACCATTATAGCAAATTCTGTACTAAATTACGCACTAATGCACTATTAACAATTTAATAGCAATAAATATTGCCTTTGGCTGTTCGACCTTTGGCTGTTTGACCCTAGTATATATTACTGTAAACATTCGAATGCCTTCAAAGATATGTTAGCATTTTAATATATGAATAAGGATTAGAATTACAGAAGAATTTATAAAGCTTTGAATGTAATTTGAACATAATATTTTCAGTGTTTTGATCTTAATAACCCATTATGGCCATTATAAAGCTTGCAAATGTGCCCAAATGCATCCCTGCTGTTGCTTTACTTTGCCTAGTGCCAGACAATTTCACTCGTCAAGGGGCCAGACAGTCTTGCAAGCCCTTAATGAACTTCAGTTTATAATGTGTAACATGTTTGTGACACAATGCCTGAAATGTTTGCCTTATGTATTTTCAGATTAATATTGGTGCTGGGCTATTGCCTGGCTCCAAATATTGTTCTCAACAATCAAGGAATTCTGGATTGAGTTGACAAACTGGTGTTGTAAGGTAAGAATTAACAAGAATAAATAGTCTGCTTTTAGTGCTTTATATGAAGAAAATGACAAACTGGCCCAGCTAAGGTACTCACCCAGGATCTGTTCATATGAGCCATGCTGGCCCGTTAAACCGAGTTAGCTTGCTTTGCCGGCCCAAGTTGTTATTTGTTTCACATGAGGCGGGCTAGCCTGACAAGTGCTATAAGAAATTACCAAACAATTTTATATATGGTGGGAAAGCGATATTTGTTTTAATTTTGAAAATGGTATTTTTATTGAAGGAAACTGCTTCAGAAGTTTTAATAGTTCATTAATGTTATTTTTTTAAATTCTTATATGCTTTCTACTGTAGATAGAATAAAGCATGCGTTGTGACACAATTGTCAATTGCCAGTCTGGTTTGCCGGGCTGGCCGGGAAAGGCGAGATCTTGCCTTGCTCAAACGGGAGCCCATCAAATTAACCAGGCCAGCCCGGTTCTCATGTGAATCAAATCTCAAAAACATATAAAAACAATATACATGTACAAGACCAGATCTCGGCACTTGCAAGTCGGTCCAGCCAGACGAATCAGCCTTGATCTTGTAAACAGCCCATGTAAGGACCTTGTATGTAGGAATTATTACATTTCTTGATACTGCATCAAAAATTTAGTAAATATTCACAACACAATTACATGTGAATCCTAAATCTACCCCCAATGCAGCCCATTGTAAGGCCTGTTGGCACTGTACTCAATTTTGGTATCCGTAACATGTTTACCATGCTTGGACTACTCCTATTCACACAGGCCGAGCATAGATAAATTTGGTACAGGTACCAAGTTTATCTGTGCCATACTAGGCGTAAAAAAATACCTGTGGTTCTGGTTCCCAATCGACCCTATTTTTTTCTGCCCACCCTATTATTTTTTCAAAGTGATTGACTGTGCAACCCTATTTTCTCCAGATGGTTGTGGGCTGCTGCCAAATGACATCTGTTGTCACACTAATTATTGAAAAATCCATGAAAAAATATTGAAAAAAAAGTATTTCCAACCTACCAACCCTAATTTTTTTGCGATATGAAACCGGAACCACAGGTATTTTTTTACGCCCTACTAGATTAATCTTGCTATCTCAATGCCAAACAATTGTACATGTCCAGGGTCCTGATGTATTAACCCAATTAGTGGCAGCACTCTTCCCCTGAGTCCCTGACGACTTAAATTGTCTGGCATTAGACAGAGTAAAATAATAAAGTAGGGCGCATCTTGGTGCATTGGCACTTAAAGGGTTAATGTAATGTTACTGCACTACATTGATGCTAACTGTATAATGAATTAAATTAGTTATTTAAGAGAAGACAGTCAGTTGAGTATCATATTTAGTCCACAAGATATATTCCCCTTTAAACTGGAACTGTTGCATGACAGATCATAAATTAATTGACATAATCTACTTGGCTAACTAATAATTATTAGACAGTAGTGCACAATGCAACTAAATGGTTAATTTGACACATGGGCAGATAGTCTGATTAACCCATTGAGCATGACTGCTTTCCTCTTGACAAGTAAAGTTATCTGGTGTTAGACAGAGTAAAATAATAAAGTATGATGCAACAAAATTTAGTGTCTGGTGAAACTTAAAGCTTGCTGATTAATAGTGATTATTGGTTATTACTTTTTAAAATAACATGGGTCCAAGGTCTTTGCCAGAAGAAGTTGCGCTAGATGGTGGTTTGCCTAATACCAGATGGTAGCGGGTGGTGCCCAGATACCTAATGGCACCAGATAGTAGTCTACAGGTTTTTTTCTGGACTTTCTCTTGGGTCCATTTTTGCAGAGAAGATTGAGTTTAGCTGAACAGCTGGGGTGGCTGCACCCCCCTACCGCGGGAGGCTGACACCTATGCTCAATAAATGTAGTTGAGATGGAATGTGTTAAAGCAGGGGCCCTAAGGGACACTATAAACTGGTTAAAGATGGCGAATGCATAGTTTTTCTTGTGTTGCAAGATGAATTCCTGAAACTTTGGTGAGAAGATTGAGTTTCACAACTCAATTCAAGATTCAATTTTTGGGCCCGTTTAACGGCCCTAAAAAATCCCTGAAAAAAACCCCTGGTCTACTGGGTACAGGTCTGGAGAAACCTGTCTCTGGTTAACATATGTATATTTGTCATACCCTGCATCACCTTGTACATACAAATGAAATATGAACTGGCTTTGTTATTGGTTAAATAAAGGCTGTTTATTACATCCACAGTTAGTAGTCCCTTTTACACTGTAGGTTAATGATAAGTCTCAAGGTCATTGTTCTGGCATATTTTGTATAAAGTAATGATTACATTTTCAATAAGTAAAATTTTCCTTTTACAGATTCTAAGATGATTGATCTTTGTTGGCAATTGCATGCTGTGTTTGGAACAGTATTAATTAAATGTACATGAGGAAATCAATGGACTTGGTGAATGAACAATGGTATAGATAATATTGATTGTGAAATGGACAAAATGTTAAACAAAATATGGCTTCAGGGGAAACCAGGGTTTTTTCAGGGATTTTTTAGGGCCCTTTAAACGGCCCCAAAAACTCAATCTTGAATTGAGTTTTGAAACTCAATCTTCTCATCAAAGTTTCAGTGCAGTAAAAATGAAGTTGTTTGAGTTATAAAATGTTGTGACATGTGGAAATTAGTTTTCAGTTGGAAGCCCGACAAGCCATCTTTAACCAGTTTATAGTGTCCCTGTTTTAACACATTCCGTCTCAATTACATTTATTGAGTACAGGTGTCAGCCCACCGGTAGGGGGGGGGGGGATGCAGCCACCCCAACTGTTCAGCTAAACTCAATCTTCTCCGCAAAAACGGACCCAAGAGAAAATCCTGGAAAAAACCCTGGGAGAAACTCAATTCACTACAACACATTGCTGTGCTATCAGAACTACTATAATTTCAGTAAATATACAAGTTATTTTCTTAGAATGAGAATTTTTTTCTTAAACTGAGAATGTTACAGTAGGTGTAAATTTATCTTATTTTTTTATCTAGTCAAAAGTATCTAGTTTTAAGAAAGTTAATCTTAAAATAAGATATATTTTCTTAAAACAAGAAAATGATTCATCTAGAAATATTTTCTTAATTAGAATTTTTTTCTCGCTATTCTCCCTAGTAAAATTTTCTTGTTTTGAGAAATATTTTCTTAAAACAAGTTATATTTTCTTAATTTAAGATTTAATTTCTTATTATTTAAGAAAAGTTTTCTTAATTTAAGAAAAATTTTCTAGTTCTAAAAAATTTCTTATTTTAAGAAAAAGTGCACTAGAAAAATGTTTCATTTTCTTGAAATGAGATATATTTTTCTTAAAACAAGAAAATATGTTTTCTTATTTTAAGAAATATTTTAAGAAATATTTTCTCAGTTAGAAAATATTTCTCGCTATTCTCCCTAGTAAAAAAATTCTTGTTTTAAGAAAATATTTCTTGAAACAAGTTTTTTTTTTCTTGAAATAAGAAAACGATTTTTTGCTGTGTAGTTCAACAAAGTACTTATTAAAGGCATTATGGATCAGCGTTTCGTCAATTACTTCACCATTCTCAGCTTTCATTTCTGGGATTTTATTATTAGTTGACTTTCTAATTCATCAATTCGTTGAGTCTTTTCCATGTTTGTTTTAAATTTCCTGAATTGCTATGTAGTTTGCCTCGATAATAGGAGCACTTTGTATCTTTTATTTGCCTATTGTATTGTTTTTTTGCCTTTCTGTAGACAGGCCAGGCATCAGTTGTGTTGGTTGTTCTAGCTTTCCTATGTAGGAAATTAATATGTCGTTTATTGTGAATTAGGTCTGTTGTTAGCCAAGGTAGTCGCTTAGTGCCGACTTTCCGTCTTTTTACTGGGGCATGGTTGTTCCAGATTCTGAAGAATTTATTCTTCTAAATCTGCCAAGATATATTTGGATCGCATTGATCCAGGTCAAAATCGGGTAAGTAATTTTGTAGGTCGCGCAAGAATATTTGTTCGTTGAAATGTTTGTAGTCTCGGTATTCGATCATTTTTGCATTTTCTTTGCAGACCTTAAATTTTCTGATGCCATAAATAAGATAGTGATCACTTATTGAAACAGTTGACACCTTTGAAATAATGTTATCAGGATTTGTTGTATAAAAGTGATCAATTAATGTCCGAGTATATCTTTAGTAACTCTTGTAGGTTCACTTATCAATTGTTCATATTGATACAGTCCTGTAATAAATTTGAGTTTCAAAGCTTGGGGAGATAGACTTGCGGATAAGAAGTCATAATTTACGTCTCCTAGGATAATACTTTCTTTATTGTCATTGTCTATTAGTTGTAAACAGTTCTCAAATCTATAAAGGGTGTCAATTGGATCGTCCGGTGGTCGATACCACGTTGTAATTAGGAACGGTTTAACGTTATGTTTACTAATCTGTATTGGCTATTGACTCGATTGGCACACTATCGTCCATTCGTGTTTCATTAACTGCAAGAACATCTATTTCTTTATCATTCATGCAGATCCGAAGTTCGTCAATGTGTTTTGGTAGACTTGTTATGTTCAAAGAAGCTATTTTGAAGCCTCGGATAGCCGGAACTAACGGCCGGTCTTGTTGATTGTCAATATAATTTAAATTCAATACAAGGAATATTTCACTCATATTGAATACAATAGAATACAAGGAATATTTCACTCATATTGATTTGTGGCGAACTCCAAAGAATTCACAATTATTTACGCTATTGTGGGAACGAAATTCCGAAATTTTGGCCAAGCTGAGAGCAAATATATGATTGTTTCGGTGTGTGTAATGCTTTGACGGCATTCGATCCCCCGTTGAAATGGTTATCTTATTAGGATTTCAATGGTATTCTTCGTTTTAAAGGGGGGTGAATACGCGCTGAGATATTTACGTTATAAACAATTGAGTTGTAAAATCGTCAAAATGTCGCTTGTCGGTAAAGAATATTTTTCACACACAAGTTCTCTAAACTGAAAAGACAAGCTTTTGGTATACACAGTAATCTAAATAGAAGCATTTTTAACCGTGTATAAATGTTATCACGCTATAAACGTTTATACCAGTTAGGGCTATGCTGGATACCTGTATTTGATGTCCAGCAAAACATCGGATATTTACCATATATGGTACTGGAACTTTTATTAAAACTACAAAACCGTCTGTTTTGCGTTAAGATATTGTGAAACACAAAAATCTATGGTCTACCAGACATGTATGTGACACATTTCAAAACGAAATTACAGTTAAGTTTTTGTAATGCAAACTGCTCTTTGCTGTATATTGTCTGACAATCCTTGTGCCACATACTAAACAGACAACAGAAAGTTTTACGACAAAAAGATAGTGACATATTGTCCAAATATGACCGTGCATCGGTATCCGGTTGTTTCTGCAACTGGCGGACTAGTATCTGGTACCATCCGGCAAAGCACTATCCGGCACACCCCCAACACCATTATTAAAAACCAAACAATATTTTACAAATGAAGCCACTCCTAAGGCTAAGATACACACTGTCACCTGTGCTAGTATTAATAGTCAAGCTCGCTCAGGATTCGTTGAATCTACACTATACTACTACAATATATTACTTAATTAATTAAAATAATATTGTAAATATATTTCCAGGGGTGTAAGCAAAAAATCCAAATGGTTTCAAATAGACTCCTAGCCCTCTTCTTCCTTAATATTAGAATTTTCATGTAAATAAATAAATATTATTGGGCAAAATCAAATAAATAAAAAATAAATAAAAAATTACCCTGCGAACAGGCCCTGGGTTGCGGGCGGCGCAAAGAATAGAGGGCCTGCACGGATGATAGGTTTTCTTGGTAGTGGCGTTCGTATAGAAACGCAGGCTTCTGATTGGCTTACACTCGTTGACAATATTACTAAAAATAGCAAATGTCAACAACAGCATTTTGAAGAATTTGAACTTTATTCATTTTAATATTATATATTATAGGACTATCGAACAAATAAAACTAGAAGTGGAGACCAAAAGCAATAGCAAAGCATCACAGCAAAAAAGTCTATCATAAATGACTTGAATCTATCGCTTAAATCCAATATACGAAACTATAACAGTATTCTGAACTTCGTCTTCGGATTGACATCAGACTATAGTATAGTACATTTTGAGGTCGTCGTGGCTTCACGGATTATTCTCATTAGTGAGCAAGTCAGCAAGCCAAGGCATACAAAAGATACCCAAATATGTACGAATAATTATATTGTTGATCCTCGCTGGCATGTCATTTAGATAAATATATATCGTACATTACTGTAAACGTTGTACTATTTACTGTATATTAACTGCTGACAATTTCGTCGTCGATACGGCTTCCACTATTGGCACACTCGTGATTTCGAAGAAATTAATAAATACATGCTCATTTATCATTTATTTAGACCACAGTTAGTAAAATTTTAAACGTATTCGGTATTCCAAATCCCAATCTATCTGACGTATTTTAGTAATAGCTTCAAAATATTCAGAACATTGTTCTTTCAGTTGCACATAGTACAAGTATTACTGTACATTCAAAGCCAAAGGTAGTATTTTATTCGGCTTTATATTTGTATGTGTATTGATATCTATTTAATATTTGATTTCTATGCCTTTCCGAGTAATATATTGTGCGGCTAATGTTTTGTATTATTGTTCATGTTGCACAATGTACACGCCTTGCGTCAATTTGATAGTTGACAGTTTATTTATCGCAGTCGACGCTGTTTGGTTAGCGTTTAGCAGATGCGAAAAGGGGATGATTGAATAAAACGCATGGTTCCGTGCAGGCTCACCTTTCTCCCAGTGAGCCTGTTCGCAGGCTAATAAAAAATATATATACTGTATAGATACTACTGTAGATCTATTTATTACATAGACATTGGTTGTAGGAAGGTTGAATAATGATATACCAATTGTGATCTTTTCTCACATTTGCAATATAGGCTATAAAGCCAAATAATTTGGTGTTTTCAGATTAATATATTTATGCTTATTGTAATCAATACCGTTTTTGAAAACCTTTGAGATTTTTGCAAAAAATTCAATTTTTAAATCAATATTTGATGGATAGCACTACTGTATCCTTCCAAAACCGTTTCCACTTTTAAGAGCTGTCTCTTATAGGCGGGTTTTAATTCAATGTTTTAAATTATGCTTCACATGCATGGTGGTCAACATTGGAGCAATCACTTGTGAGAGCAATCAGACAATTCTTATTAGTATAATTACAAAGTTGATTATCGAAAAATTGTGGCCGCTGATTGGTCAAGCGACCTCGGATTATCATTATTACGCGATACGGCGATAATCACCTATAAGCGTTTTTTCAAATTGACGGCGAGTGGTTTGCCGAAATGACAGATGAAGAAATAAGTTGCTAATTTTAAAGAAAATACTGTATTTAAAAGCACGAAAGAAGTGAAATGTATTTTCTACAACCGATTGGTTTCAACAACAGCCAGAATTCACAAATGCACGAGTTTGAAGACATGAATATTGACGGAATAAACAAGTGTTTATCAAAATTCTACGTTTCTATAAGAAAAAGTGATGGAAATTACTACAAAAAAGCATTCTTGATGAATGATGGCGATATGAGCGGCACTGTATACTGTATACAGAAACCTAAAGTCGCTTGAAAAAAGATTGAAATGTGGTATATTATTTTTTCAAATAATCACCTTTGTAAATTATACTAAAACAATTATTTGCTTCATGCTAGGTGAATAATTGTTAAATAATACCAGTCAAAATAAATTTGAAGAAACACAAATCTATTTGTCGCTCTGTCTGTCGTCTTTTGAAGTTGACCTCCATGGGACTGCGCTATCACATATAATTGAAATCCACCTACAGTATAGACATGCACATTGCAGTTTACCTTCAAGTCAGCTCATGCATGAAACCTAGCAGACAGATTTTGCCTTTTTGCTGGCTTCAACATGTTGAACGCTGTACCGTAGGTCTGATGGCCAAAAGCTCATCAACAGAAATTATCTTGTCAGTGATTTCAATTTTAATAGGCGGCAATTGCTTTTCGTTCCAGGTTTAATTAGTTCTATAATGTTTCAAATTTAGTTGTAAGTTTGAACTACTGTATTGAGTGAGATTCATTTTCCAAATGCAACACAAACCAAATCCAATACATGCTTCATTTTCTAAATTGTCGTATCCTGGCTGTGCGTCCACAAACATTTTAAAATGAACTGATACTGTGATACTGGTAATGAACTCTATAGTTGCTTTCATCATAAGGAAATTTCTATTAACAATCAGTAATTAAGTGCGATAGGTCTACATGCAAACAATGGCTAAATACTAATAATCCCCAAGCTTTTTAAACGGGTAAAGAAATTAAATTCAAAGTCATAAGGAATCTACAGTCCATGTATTTTGTATAAAGCAGAGCTGTTGTAAGACACACTGATTAATTAAAGTAACTGAATCTAAAATGTTATGCACAAAGTAAAGGGATACCAAACATTACCACAATCTGAGACAAGGCGAACTCTCGATCACTTTTACCTAAGATTGATGAATTGAAAACTATTTTGCATATAAATGAGGTTGGGTTGGCCTTCATAACTGAGACATGGCTAAATGAAAATATTGATGACGGTGCCGTTGAAATTAGTGGCTTTTCCTTAGTTCGGCGTGATAGAATTTCTAGAATCGGGGGTGGCGTTTGTGCTTATATTAAAGACCAGATTCCTTTTAAAATCTTAACAGATTTGCATGAAGACAATTTTGAATCACTTTGGCTTTACCTGAGACCAAATAAACTTTTCCGTGGCTTTTCCTGCCTGATTATCTGTGTGGTCTATCACCCTCCCTCCAATGATAACTGTGCCTTAATCGATCACCTAACATCTAAACTTGACGCTGCTCTTATATCGTACCCCAACGCTGGTATTTTTCTCATTGGAGACTTTAATAAATGCCCAATTTCCTCCCTACTACGTCATTTTACTTTGAAACAGATAGTTAAAGAACCCACAAGAGGAAATTCCACATTGGACTTAATTTTGACAAATATGACTTCCTGTTGTAACTCTCCGGTGTTATTACCCCCTGTCGGCCAAAGTGACGATAATTCCGTACTGTGGTCCTTTAATAAAAATACAGCTAAATATGATACATCAAAAGTAAAAACTAGACAAGGTAACAATCATGACAGGAGAGCATTCGGTAAATGGCTAGCTGATATAAACTGGAACAACTTGTACCGCGCTGAATCATGTGAACAAAAGTTAGATTTTTTTCAAACAGTTATAAATACTGGTTTGGACTGTTTTTTCCCTAGTTAACGGCAGAGTATTAGTGTTTGGAGGTAGGTGCCGTTTGTGGTCCAAGGCCGCAACTAGCCTTGATGGCAAGAAGTATTGCCATAGCAGCTGCGCAGCAACAATGAGAGCAACAATCAGTAATATTAGCAGCAAAAAGAGATAGCCATGACAATTCTGCCAAGGCATACCTCCGGCACCAGTCACACTGACAAGTCAGTGGAAACGAAATACAATGTATAGTGGTCTATACATCCTATATCCTGTGAGGTTAAAAACTATATAAAAAAAAACAACAAACAAAAAAACAACGAAACAACCCCCCGAAAAAACCGACAGACTACCAGATAAAATCCTCTAAAATATCATGGGTGGGTGGGTGGGGAAAAAGTAACGAGGCGCTAAACTTGCTGCAACTAGGCAAAGCATACAATGGCAGAATGAATACCCAGACCAAAGCAATGATCACAAGGCGCGAAACAACCCCCTTTGATCGATATGACGTCACGGACTCCCCTCAGCGGATGTAGCATGCATAATACATCCGCCGTTAACCTTGCTTAAATATGTTTAACCACATTTAACGGCAGAGTATTAGTGTTTGGAGGTAGGTGCCGTTTGTGGTCCAAGGCCGCAACTAGCCTTGATGGCAAGAAGTATTGCCATAGCAGCTGCGCAGCAACAATGAGAGCAACAATCAGTAATATTAGCAGCAAAAAGAGATAGCCATGACAATTCTGCCAAGGCATACCTCCACAATGGTCAGTACCTTCAAGTTCATAGCTCCAGTATGAATAAGGTCACATTCATAGCTCCAGTATGAATTCAACAACCTTAGTAGCTTCGGTATGACTTAATTCTACTACGTCATCAGTCTACGTCACTACGGAATTACATGAGAGAGCGCGCGCGAGCTATCTAGGCAATTTGTGCTTGCGTCTTTCTGGGCATAAACAACGTGAAGAAATTTATGCGAGTAAATCGTAAAGAATCGTTCATCATCATCGGTTTGTTGAACATAATTTTTGCACAAGGCAAACAGGGAGTATATTGTTTTGTTATTTTGCTATTTTGTTGTTTTGTTTCTTATTCTCGTTTAGGGAAAAACGAATCAAATGGGCAATAAATATATAAATGATGACCTGCAATGGCGGGCAGCCACAAACAAAATTCACGCTTGTGCTCCAGAGTTGAGCGGCAAATACAAGCAACCCAGTACACCCACAATGGGGAAAAGCTACCTATGGTCTATACAGACCGCTCCTAAGATGAGCAAGTGAAACTAAAGCCTTATTAAGGCATATGAGGCCAACGCCCATATAAAGCCCAACGGGCAAAATATCTGACGAGGCCAACAACGGCCATACAAAGCCAATTAAACGGGGAATGAAGCAAGAAGGCAATGGCTGTGGAAAGGCCTATAAAACCAAGAAACAGGACGCCAACTACCCTGTCCAAAGCCTAACGAGTAAAGGCAAAAGGTACACATGGTCAACGACCACATTGTTGCTTCAGCAACTTGGGAAAGTACCGAGAGACGCCATTGTTGTGCTGCATGGGCGCCACGTCAAGGTCATGCATGCCTCATGGCATGCATGTCCACAATTATAGCAGACAATATTGTGCTTATTGGACCGAAAAGCTAATGCTTTTTCACACAGCTAGGAAGCTAGTCCATTATTTTATTGCACACAACTGTAACGCAGAAACTGATTGGATTTTTCCAATGTCAACGACATAAAAATGTCATTTGTGAATTGTGGCGTGTGCCGTGTGGATATAGTCCATGGCATGTATATACAAAAACATACGTTAAATGATCACTTTAGTCTTTACCCACTGTGCTTTACCTAATGAAATCTACAATAATATTATAATGTCGTTTATTGCTGCAAAGCGTTCAGATTGAACGACATTTTATTTGCACTTTTATAATACTTTATACTCGAGTTTATCCTGGGCGAACATTTTACTTTGTTTACTTGGCGGGAAATTGCCAGTAATTTATTCACGTGCAGCTGACGTGCTACGTACGAGATTTAAACATGGAAGTACATCAGTACATGTTACGAGAACCACGCTGAAGAAATAAACAACTGTGAAACTTTTTAAAGTTTTATCTTGTGTGATACAATAAATATAATAGCATAGCTAAATTCCAGCAAAACCGTTGAAACTAGACCTGAATGCAGACCAGTTTTAACTTGATTGGTCACTTCCTGTGATACAACAACAGCAGGGGTGATGGCTATCACATGACATGTAGCACTACAACCTACAATGAATATTTGCTCATTTGAATGTGAACACAATAGTACAATGTTCATTCCAATTGTTCTTCCACGGCAAGACTAAAGCTAGTCAGCCTAGTTTACTGATAATATCAGTAATTTTGGTATTGGCTGGTATATCAACTCCTCACTTCTGGCATAAATGCTGTCACTGTACAGCTTGGTACAGTTTGTGGGAATAGTATACATCATGCATGCTATAGCAATTATAGCCCCTTTTTACTATCTCAGTATAGTAATTCTTGATTAGTCACTAGACTGAAGTAGGTTATTATCTTTTTCCCAAGTGGGAATACTAGCAGTGAAAATCTGAAATGCTAATCGATGCCAGTGGGGCAGTGGCTATGTTTTGAACCATGAAACAAACAACTTGACCAGGCCAATGAGAAATTTACTGAATTGTACAGTTTGTACCTGCTTATTTAACCATGCATTAGCATTACTGGGATCAGATTTCAATTCCTGATTAGAATTGAAGGTGTGGTTAATGTCTGCAAATCTGCATGGAGGCTAATCTTGTTCCCTGAGAACAAAATTGGACATCATTATCTTAACCTCTTGGGGGCTTTTTGTATAGCCAAAGCAATTTGTATTAAAGTATAAAGATTAGTAATTTGCTATGCCTTGAATTTAAGAACAGCAGTGTAGAATATTCACTGGTCATTATGTATGGAAATATACCCAATCTCCGCTTCAAGCCAAACAAATCAGGCCAGACTGGAACAGTAGAGCGGTCTGGTACTCAATGACAATGTTTCATATAACAATAACAATAACAACACACCATTGGCATTGGGAAGTTGCACTATCGTATTTTGTGAATCATTATCTGTTTAACATGGCATAGCCATAGGCTAAACACCTTGTACATATGTCATATATAATAGACATAGTCCATCTGCTGCAATCACTGTTGTTCTGGACTGCAGGACAAACATTGCATTTATAGAATGACATTCATTCCTTCACAGGACAATACAAAGACCAATTACCAAATAGCAATGCCTGTGATGCGATACTATTCAGTCTTGGTAAACTCGACTATACCGTCGGTATACGTGCTAATGAGTAATGGTTATGATGAATTTTAAATGGTCTGATAACAACAATAACAGTTACAAAATTCAAAACTGACGAACCGGCTGTCACTCGAATGCAATATGCATGTTATATTTACTGGCTATTTAACCCCATTGGCATTGCATATGGCTATAATAAAATAAGAGGAATTCAATACAAGGGACAATTCTTGTCAGTCATGTGGTTACCATGTAAATGTATGTAGAAAGGGCACAGCGAGAAACTTTGCGGACCAATATACCATGCACCCTGACTCAGGAAAACATGCAACTGACCGAAATTTATTTTCGATTCTCGCGTTAATATGCAATTGAAGCCAATAACAATGTCCCCTGATTGTTTCAACAGGATATCTCTACAATAATGTTAGTGTTGTTACTGTTGTAACGGCCCAAGATCTTTTCCCTTCACCTATTGTAAGTTTCGGATGTAAACGTTTCTATGATACCCCACACAGTCACAGAACAACACTGATCAACCAGTCCTTTTTGGCGAATTTCTTGTGCACATACAATGTATTTAACACATATTTCGTCCACAGAAATATTAAGGAATATACTCTCCAAATACAAATAGTTGTGGTTATGACTATATGCTCACCGCCTTCACTTCGAAGCCTTATGGCCTTTAACGGTATGACTGTATGTCCAAATGCCATCGGCAGCGAGCGGCATACTACACTTAATTATTACACAGACTTCAGTACACAAATTGGCCATGGGACCATAATATTGAGAGGGGTGATAATATACAATATATGACATATGTATTTGAAATTGCTAGACTTATAGAACATTGATGTTATATGAATCATGCACTCAGAATCATAATGTACTAATCAGTACCTATTTGGGCACATTTGTCTTCCTTTTCATTGTACAGAATTATTTCTATCTATCATCAGCTTCTGATTTATAATAACGACGGAGCTATGGAACAAATGCATATTTTTGCTTAACTATATATACATTAATTTGTGTCATATAGAACCCTTAATCCTTATATCAGTTTCATGATGCTTGTGATGTTACTGTGAGACATTGGGCAGGCTTGAAAAATATGCCTGGCCACGGTGGGAATCGAACCTACTACCTTTGGAATACTAGCCCAATGCTCTGCCAATTGAGCTACGCGGTCAGGTTGGTTCGAGTATGGAACTGAGTCTAGTTCCTTCGATATCAATGTAATCTAATAATCATGATATTTGCTGTGTTGGTTATGTGATATTAGTCAACGCTGAGGTTTCAATGGTCAGTTCAGCGTTTATTGCATAACGGTCTCATGATACTGTAATGACCTTATATATAATTTGCAAAGATGTCGTGTGACATCAGAAAAAATATTCATTTCAAAATTAGTGTAAGTTACTGCAACCAGGTTTTCAATTCAGGAAGAGTATAAAAGTTCTTTCGTCCTTGAGTTATAAACTCCTCGATGCCAATGGCACTTATATTGGAAACTTTTGGCTTTATGACAGCCTAGAGATACACTGCAGGCTGTATGCTTAATACAAAGAAAAATTCCGTCTTATGGTAAAGGAATTGTGAGTCGTATCGGTACCAGGGAACAGCCTGGGTACGGGTTTGCAATCTTATGGCAACAATTGTTCATTGCTTCTTGATGGCAATGCATTTAATTTAAGGGAATTTAAAAAGAATCATGAGGAAATTATCTTTACCTTTATTTATTTGGAGTCTACTACTACTAGCATTTCTTGTAGACAGAAGAGGTTAGCCCAACCTCACAATCAAATGATTCCCTTTTTTGTATCTGCCCTTGCGCAGATGTGATCATGTCGGCTCGTTTGTTAGTAGATGATATCATGGTTTAGTTACTTCGTAAACCATTGACTGATCTACTCATTGGCGTGTGTGTGAACAGGACTTTGAAATCTCATGTAATTCCGTAGTGACGTAGACTGATGACGTAGTAGAATTAAAAATTAAACGAGACTTACCTGGTAAGTTGAAGTTTGATTGGAATTCTACAAGTCATCAGTCAGGAACGGAGGAATTACATGCCCTGGATCAGGCAAGCTGATTCCCTCCCGTCCCAATTCCTCCGTTCCATGCTCCTGTTCACACTCACGATTACGTTGAATATTGCCTAGATAGCTCGCGCGCGCGCTCTCATGTAATTCTTCCGTTCCTGACTGATGACTTGTAGAATTCCAATCAAACTTCAACTTACCAGGTAAGTCTCGTTTAATTTTTAATTTTCTATTATAAATATTTTGTATGCAAACACTATTTTGAAGCCCTTGCAAGCAGGTTATTTGCTTGGAAAAGCTGTCCTTTGGCGTGTATATACTGGCAATTTTTCCAACCGGTATAATGTGGCGAGTCGCTGATTTACCAGCTTTTGCCTTTGATGCTTTTCGCTAAGGAACCGGTCATTATTTATGGTGGGGGGTGGCACCGAAGAGAAATGTTTTTCCTGGTAAAAATTTTGCTGACCCAACCATTAAAAAGCAAAAAAAATGATTACCCAACCTCAAATATCAATTAAAAAATAAATACCCACCCCTGGCCAAAACCTTTACAAAAGAATACCATTCAGTTGTCACACATGTCCTTTACCACTTCTGTGACACAAGTTTGATACAGTAAACTTTCCGGTTGTATGTACATGTACTTTCTTTGGAGACACCATTTGTCTCCCAACAAATCGGAAAATGATCAAGATCGTGACTCTGATTGATTCACATATTGTATTGACCGTGATGACTGTTGACATTGCTTTTCAGTCTCCAATATTTAAGTGAGTCATGCTTTGGAAATGACAATAACTTTTTATTACCCAACCCTTGAGTTGTTTTGTTTTTCATTTACCCATCCTTTTAGCTACTCAAAATTTAGTTTACCCAACCCTTTTCTCTTCGGTGCCACCCCCCACCATAAATAATGACCGGTCCCTAAAAGAGCGTTAGAAGAACGTCCAACTCATGGCGTTTGTGTAAATGAGCAATGCTGCTCGTTACAGTATATCGCGAACGCGCCTTTGATAAACAATCCAGCTCGAAAATTATGTGCGATAAAACTCAGAGATCAGCAATAAATTTTTTCAGCAGCTATTAAAATGTGACAACGAAGAGATTGATTGCGATGTAGCTGAACTTGATCAAATGACAAAACTAATCGAGGTTCGAAAGTCGAGGTCGAGGGTCAGAGGTCGAGGGTCGTACGTCGAGGGTCATAGGTCGAGGGTCATAGGTCGAGGTTCGAAAGTCGAGGGTCAAAAGTCGAGGTCGAGGGTCAAAAGTCGACGTCGAGGGTCAAAATTCAAGGGTCGAAAATGGGAAATATTAATTTTTTATTAATACATTTTTAGAATACTATACATAACTAACTTCATTACTGTTAGTACAGAACATGCCTTAGGGCATAATTAGGTTCCTTTTTGTTTTTCGAGAAAGTGTAAAATTACTAAAACTATTCGAGAACGTACGGTGCCCGGTGGTGTGATTCGAAAATATATTGTATTTATTGTACTATCAGAACGAATCGAGTCCCAGCGTAGCAAAAATCTCTCACAATAGATAGTCGTGAGATAATTCTGAACCAGACTAAAATCACCCTGTTATAAAGATTCGTGCTTCGTGCATGTTATTTTTGACAGAATAACTAAACAAAGTTTCCATTTTATTACACTACAGGGTGTCTCAAAAAAACCCAAAATCATTGAAATTGACGTATTGTTCGATATTCAATGCCCTAGCACTAAGTTAATCCCACGAGTGCATAAAAGATTGACATAACTGCTATAATGAATGGTAATACTCAGCGTAAACTTGTTATGTCAGGCATAAAGTACTAACCCCACGAATGCATATTACGCATATTACAATTTACGAAGCATTTTTAAATTCCCATGAGCAAACAAACGTTCACTTTACAAAGATATTTTAATTTTTTAAAACAAATTAATCACCCTGTCAAAATCCTTTGTGTTACGGCATTGAAATTCGAACAATACGTTATTTCAATGATTTTGGGTTTTTTTGAGACACCCTGTACAATGTTCTCGCAACTATATTATGAATATGAAACTGTCAATCGAACATGTGCACTTCCGGTGCAGACATGTTATAAAATATATAAATATCAACTGTTTCTCGCACACCCTAACGCTTTAAACCTCCAAAACCATACGCGGTATGAGGAGTATCGTTAAGTTGAAGTTCTGAGAATTTCAGAACTCTTTCGCCTCCAAGAGATAACATATTACCTATAATCAAATTTCTCATGAGAGTGAAGCGCCATTTTTGTATAATCGTCCGTGTTTGTATATTTTAAACTCCGATGTAAAATAAAAGATGTATGCTTTCAAACATCAAACCTCGCATCAGACTTTTAGTTCCACAAGCGAAACTTTCAGTTATACAGTACATAGCCATAATAAAGGACCATACAGACCGAACGCGATTCGACAACGCGACGCGAATTTTCAGTTTTATAATTTAAAATCATGTAAAAGCGTCAACGGATAAAAATTTTACAAGATATGCAGACCAAATAGCTAAAATTGCTTAAGTGGTTCCGAATATTTCAAAAACATAGAAAAATAGTAAAGTTAAATGTCATTAATTGAAAATTGACAATTCGCGTCGCGATGACGCCGGAATCGCGTCCGATCTGTGACCAGAGATCTGTGACTGTGTGGGCCTTAAATGTTATAAAACCTTTCCTGCGAAGCAAAAGTTTGGACAAAGATATATATTTTCTTGCATATAATATAAGTGCCTATAAATTTGCCTGTGTCTATCTTAGACTAATAATTTGGGACAGTGGCGGCGGAACAGATTTCATTCTGGGGGGGGCTAAATTTTCGGTCAGTGTACCATTTTAGGGGTACAAAAATTTTTCCGGACGTATATAAGAAAAGGGATGCAAAAATTTTTTCCGGACATATAACAAACATTTTTTCCCGAAATACACAATTTTTAAACAAAATATTGCAAATTTTTCCCCTTATACCTAAATTTTCAAAAAATAGCCTAAATTTTTTCTTAAGGAGGCTCCCTACAGTTGCGTGCGGGATGTTCGCGGGACCAGTACGTGAACTATCCCACGCAACTGCATGATCAAAACAAAACAAAATATTTTTTTTTTAAAAAAGCTATTTCTGAAAGGTTTCTAATGGGAAAAAGCGTTGAATAATATTTCGTTTTGAGTGCCAAATTACTTGCGAGTCTATACAGCAATTCTACATATGATACGAATACCACTAGACCAAAAATAGCTACGAAACAATGTTTTTTAATGTTTTTAAAATATACATTGTCAACTGTAAAACATTTGCAAAATTGCATACAAACGTTTAAAAAGTTGTTTACTTCTCAAGAAAACGTTCACGTTTTTAGTCGTGTTTCTACAAGATTAAAGTGATTATTTGTAAACAGAAAAATATTTCAGTTTCATAGCCTAATTGTTCATTTTTAGCAAAAAGTACAAAACCAAACATGAAACAAAAAAACACGTCCACCTGTTAATAGGCTGTTACAGCTCATAGATTGAGTAAACGGCAGGATTCAATTAGCTTCAACCTTGTTTTCATCGATTTAATCCTTCACAATAATCCTTGGCTGTCCATAGCACTCAAATAAATCGAAAAGTTGACAAAAACAAAACAGTAAAAACAACATTGCGGCTCGATTTTGCTGAATGAAAACTCGTTCTGCGCCCGCGTACAATCTTTTACTAGTCAGCGACGCTTTTCAATAAGGGGAATTTCTCGAGTTACACGAGGCTATTTTCTAACTTTATTTGCATTTTACTCATTAGTTTCATCGGTGACCTATCTTCAAATTTTGACCACGAATTTATTTTGCGGTAAATTTTATAAATTTCAAATTTTAAAAAAATCTGTAGTGTGGAAATTTCGCAATAAATTTTTCGCTTTTAAAAAAATCACACACTACAGAATTTTTTTAAACTTTCACCACAGTTGCAGAGCATCATTCCTTATTGATATATGAAATAAAAAAGATAGGTCACCGACATCGTTTTTGAAATAGCGGCACATTTATGGGTTAAATTGGAAGGCTTTATGCTGTTGTCATGTTGCCATGGGAACATTGACATCGTCGAAATCTAGTTCGAAATATTCCTTAGGTGACCAATATTACCACCAAGTCGAAAAGAATTCGCGTTCTGCACGAATAAGCCTGTTTTACGGAATTATTGCTTAAACAAGAATAACTGTAGGGAGCCACCTTAATTATCAAAAATTTTCCAGAAAAAACTAAATTTTCTGGGGGGGCTAAGCCCCCCTAGCCCCCCGGTTCCGCCGCCCCAGATTTGGGAGTGTAGCTCAGAGGTAGAGCATTCGACGACAGTTGAGATATCGATGGTTCAAATCCGCACGCTCCCTTGATTTTTGAACATGATATGATGAAAAATATACCACATTCTCAGAAAAACATCGACAACAATACCTCTCGTACAAATTATAGGCCAGAGTGGCTGACCGATATATATTGTGTTAATGTTGGACAAAACGAGACATTAGGAGTGATGCATGGGGGATAGTTAAAAAGGGCGGGAAAGGACGGAGATAAAAAAAAACATTACATTTGGATCACGCCATTTTATACTATACGTTTATGATTATTATAAAAGAAACAAACAAACCAGTTTATATTTGGCGATGAGGATTAATAAACCACTTACCCAGACGCTAAGTTCACAAGCAGCAATATACAACTACAATTTTAATAGTACCAAACTGAGCTGAAATACCGACCTCTATGCCAATGGCGGCCATGACGAGCACATCAGCACTATATTTTAACAGTAATCTTCTTCCAGAAAGTTTGACACTCTTTTACTCCAGGAAGCATTCAAGATCATTGATATGAACAAGGAGAAAAACATAATCACAGTACAACAAAAAGGAAGCGGTCTCACCCTGTGTTGCCACCCGGATGACCTCAAACCCTTGAAAAGTCGACCGCGGACAACCCCGAAGAGAAACAGGAGTGTATTCATTCATTAATTTATTAGCGATTCCCAGCAGCCTTTCGCGCTCGTATTCGACTTTTCCGCTTTGCTCGGGGGACAATCTTAATTGAAATAGCTGTATACAGTACCCAGGCATCGAATGGCTTGAAGAAATCGACGATAACGACGACGAAAGCTACCGCCTGGGAAAGAGAGATACAGCACCACCGCTTAGACGAAGTCAACGGACACGGACGATCATTCCAGTTTACCGAGTAAACACTATTGTTATATAGGCTAGCTAGTGGTTAACGCAAGCGTGATTGGCTGATTTCCGGTCACATGGCTTTAGATAACTGAAATGTATCCTGGCGAGCTAACAGGTGGGAAATTTGCTGTCGCTGGTCAGCAAATTGCGGGCGCTAGCGAATTTTTTTTTAAATTATTTTAATAATTAAATTGTGCAAATAAAAAAATGAGCAAAAACAAGTTTTTGGGCTTCTCGTTTGGGAAGGAAACCGTCGATGTGCAAGAATTTAAGTTCGTTTATTCAAAGACTATTGAAAAATGTCCTGCCGGATTAGAGACTTTAAACTGAAATTGAGCAATTATAAACTATTTATTTCTACAACGAAATATTGACGAAATTAAAATATCTTTGTAAAGCGCACGATTTTCTGTTCTTGGGAATTTAAAGCAGCTTCATAAAAAGTTCTTTTTGCATAAAATTCACTTATGTCAAACTTTGATGCACTTGTGGGTTCAGCAGAGTGCTGAGGCATTCAAATTCTAACAATACGTTATTTCAATAGTTTTGGTTTTTGGCCGGACACATTGTACAGTGTGTATAAAAAAAACACTGAACCCTTTCAAATTCAAATTAGCTATAACGTATTGTAGTAATTTGACAGCTCTAATTGCTTTGAATTAATGGTTGGGTAAGAACACGTCAAGGTCTTGCACTCACGGGACAAAACTCAAAGAAATAAAAATTAGAAAATTTAAAAGAAATACTGTATTTCTTTCAAATTTTCTAATTTTTATCTCTTTGAGTTTTGTCCCATGAGTACAAGACCTTGTGTTCTTACCCAACCATTAATTCAAAGCAATTAGAGTTGTCAAATTAATTAAGTACCACAATACGTTATAGCTAATTTGAATATG